ACTTAACCCTTTAATCAGCAAAGCATCATAAGATGCCATTTCTTTCTCTGTTACAGAAAAAGAATTAAAGGCCTAATATGTATCTATCTTCTAAGATTAGACAGTTATTATTTCATATAAATTTAATCTGAAAGGAAGCTAGAAGTGTGCCTATCATATAAAACCAAACAATAAACGTTGGTTAGAAGAACTTGAATTAGCACAATATCCTCATGTTTTTTGAAGTTGAAAAAGCTGATGTAAAGGCTTATACTGTTCCCATTATCACAACAATATTACAATTATATTTGCCACTGAGACCAATGCAAGGATCATGTGTTTTTGTATTCCTGTTGGTGCCTATGATGGTTGGAGAAGTCAGGGAACTTTTCAGAGCACTAAGTAGCATGCCAGCACACATTAAGAACAAAGCAAATTCTTTTGATACTTTGCTTACACTGTGAGCATTATTATCATAGATTGGGTAACAGAAGTCTAAATATAGTTCCATTAATTGCATTTTACAATACAGAAAATAACATATTTTGAGGTTGTTTAAGGAGAGAATGCCCATAAAACTCATGGGACCTTGGTTACTCCTGGCAATATTTAACCAACTGGAGCTGTTGCACAGTTTTGGGGTCTATAGATGAAATAGTGCTCAGACGCTATATGGATCTCAGAGTCCATCTTGGTCATACCTGGGGGCCTCCAGGGCTATACCCAGAGATACTCATGTGGTGCCAGGCCATGTGGTTGCAGGTATTGAACATGATTAATGTACATGCAAACTTGCATTGACCCTAACACCTGTACCATCTCCCTGGTCCCCAAAGTCATATACTGGACCCTTAAAATCTATTTATATTTGAATATTTGAAGGCATATTATATAATTAGAATAATGAGAGTTCTTATTTAGTTTTCTGGGAGGGCTTTTATTTGGCTTTTTGGGTCACACTGGTGATTCTCAGGAACTACTCTTGGCGGTACTTGGGGGAACATACTGGATATATGGGGATTGAACCCAGGTTGGCCATGTGGAAGGCAAAGCCTGACCAGCTGTACTATCACTATGGCCCCTAATAGAAGCACTTCAAATGAGTAAAGATGAAATAATTGTAATCAGTTGAGTATTTTCCAAAGATATTATTTATAAGATAAATAATATCCAAAGATATTAATTATAAGAAAAATAAACAAGCTAGGATTCCTGGTTCACAAATATACTGTTTCTAGGGGAAATGTAAAATTGATTATAATATGAAGTGAAGTTTTCCTTAGATAATATATATATATATATATATATACATATATATATATGAACTTCCTTGGAGTTTGGAGTCCCATATCTATGGCCAGGGTTGTAAATCCTAAACACAAATGTGAATTCTTTAGGAGAAAGTCCATGGAGAGAGACTATCAGAACTTTAAATGAAAAAGATCCCAGTCTAATTTTTTCCTTGAAGATTTAAGCAATGTTATCAAAGAATTTTTTCTCTTCAATCTTCTGAGGTCTATAGCACCTTTCCCCTTTCTACTTTTGTATCATATAATTAGCATAGAATTATGTGTTTTTCACCCTTGAGAAAGACTATTCTTTTATTAACGATGCCTTAAAAAGTTCTTCATAATTTATATTTAAAGTGAGTTCAAAATCAAAAGGGTTTCATGAACTTTATTTTTTTTAACTTGGCCTACTTATCAGTAATGCAATAAATGAGATGATAATAGTTGTTACATGCAATCATTAAGTCTCCACCTTTATGGTGAGAATTAGAGTTCAGGAAACAAATGTATTATTCTTTTCTCTGGATTAAATGTTTGGAGTTTTTTAATTTGATGTTGCAAAATACTGATGTTTCAACAAAGGCACTCTAATTCTTTGTCTTTTCTCCTCGGTAGACACATTAAAAAAATGGGTCAGAACATTAAGCTTTCTGAATCCAGTACAAAGACAGGGGAAATATAAATTATGTTTATAGTAGTAAGTACAATGTAAGCTCCAAATTAGCCCATACTAAGGAATTTACCCAGTCCCTGATCTGAAAACTGTACCATTCATCTCTGCTGAGGCCAAGCAAGCTTCATTGCTATTTTTGGCTGACTGATTTTTTCCCAACATTTAGCTTACCACAGCACTCCAGATTGGATATGGGCAATTATAAGGAAGGGTGCACATTATTGCAAATTTTAATCATTTCTTGAGCTATTTTGCTTGCAGTGATAATCCCATAAAACCAACATATCTTACATAAGATATGCAAATGACTTTTGGCTGAAAGTAGTTTTTCAATTACTCGATATCCTATTCTTGCTTAATTTCTGGACTTTCCCATTGGAGCAATCAGTTTCATTGGCTAGTTAGCTCACCAGGGTCATGGCTACCCCTATTTAGAATGGCAAATGGGCTATTGATTAATATACCACAATACCAATAATGAATAGGTATCCTTACAATAATGTTGCTATGTCTACATGATAGAAACTATCTTTTATCAATCCCTCATACCATGGCAACATAATATTTTGTCAGTAATTCAAAATTATTATTTTTACATCTCCTATACATTTTTGTACTTCAATAGAGACGGCAGAAGTAAAAGTCTGATAACAACTATACCTCTTTCCAGTCTCAAGGAAATGTACCTTATTATAGTGGTCCAATCAAATATTCATAAATGCATATCATTTTGTTTAGTCATTTGGAATAGCATGAGGTTGTTTAGTGAAAAATGTAGTTTCATTTTTACCAGAAATTTTTTTTGTGTTATGGTTAAAAAAATTACTTTGATTGTATTTATAAAGTGACTGGTTTTAAACTGTGTTCTCTTCTCTAATATGATTATTGTTCTTTTTAAAATGTGAATCATAGACTCTCAGAATTGGAAGGAATGTTAAACACCTACTATGACAGGAATCTTCTCTCTAATATTTTCAGTAAGATCCTCTATTATTAACTATTCTTTAGGACTACAGAAATGAGAGAAAAATAGGAAATGCAATCCATTTCTAGAGACTAACATTCTCTAGATATAACAAACTAGATCAAGTCATTAGCTCATCTATTTTCATTCTCACTTGTCTATTTTGTTTCATTACAAGGGCTGGAGTGATAGCACAGCGGTAGGGCGTTTGCCTTACAAGCAGCCAACATGGCCGGCCCGAGTTCGATTCATCTGCCCCTCTCAGAGAGCCCAGCAAGCTATGGCAGAGCCTGGCAAGCTACCCGTGATGTATTCGATATGCCAAACACAGTAACAACAAAGTCTCCAATGGAGATGTTGCTGGGCCCGCTTGAGCAAATCGATGAACAACGGGAGGACCATGACCAATCACAGTGATATTACAAGGATTTGGGAAACAAAGTTTAAATTTTGATCTTGGCAATTAAGAATATGTTGTAACAGACACTTAAGCAATAATCCTGAAAAAACTCACTATGAGAAATTAGATCACATGGTTCTGACCTTTTAGTTAAATCATTCAAAAACTGGGGGTCTATTTAAAAGTCTATTTCATATAAAAAAAGCCATATAAGACTTTTATCACTATTTTAATAGTTTAATTATTTACTATAAACTATAGGTTGTGAGATTAGATTCAGGAATAAGATTGTGTGACTTGAACCCTGATTTTCCAATTAGTTAGCTTCAAAAAGACACTAAAATCTCAGAAGCTTTTTAACCCAGTGAGAAAGATAATATTATTTCCATTCCAGATGAGTAAACCAAGAGTATTAAATGAGCTAATTGAGGTGAGAAAGTTTATTTGGTGTATAATATCTATTTTAACTATCTACCAAATGTTAATTTCTGCATGTCTATGAAAAACATAACATAATAGAGTTGGATTATACAAAGCTCACTATTTTTAAAAATTCAGAATTTCACATTTGAGGGATTTTCTATGAATGCTATTTTAGGTGAACAAATAGTATTCTTTTGTTCTTTTATTAATGTTCTATTATTAATGAAATAAATTTACACATATTGATAAGGAGATTCATATTTCTAGAAAGTTTAGGCAAGTTTATATGAACTATAACATGTGCAGTGTCTGTGTTACTTTTTAATAAAATATTTTCTTATTCTATTGGTCTATTATTATATTCCAGTCCCCAGTGATCAAATTCTAACCACTTGTCAGCTTTCCCATAGAGCAAAAAACAAACCTCAATTGCTGATTTTACAAAGAAAAAAATTTAAATTTTCTGTGAAAATATCATAAAGCTAATTAGAAAAATCTAAGAAAGTGAATTTTACTTCTCTCTCATAAGTCAGTCATTATAAGTGGAAATACACTACTGTCATTATAAGTGGAAATACACTACTGTCATTATAAGTGGAAATACACTACTGTCTAAAGTGTATTCTTTTCATATTGACGCTGAGATAAAAACCTATTCTCTTACAAGCTTAACCATCAAAAATTATTAAATTATAAATAAAGGAGATTAAAATGTGAAACTTTTGGCAGATACAAAAATTGAAAACTATTACTATTATATATATATGTCTTCATGATCATATATATATATACTCTTTTGGGGGTGGAATTTATTAAGATTACGATCCATCAGAAGAGCAAGGGTTTGGGGTTAACTTTCTCAGCATTTATCCCCGCATTCATCCTTGAGGAATTTCACATAATTGTGAAAAATCTATGGAGGAATTATTCCTGAGCCTGCACTCAGGAATTACTCCTGGTGGATGCTGGGGATCGAACCCTGGTCAGCCTCATACAAGGCAAATGCACTAGCCATTGTATTATTGCTCTAGCCTGAATAAGCAGTATTTGTATATCAAATAACATGACAACTGATGCAATCCATAGAAAATGTTTTGAGTGAAATAAAAAAGTATATTAAGAAATGAATTAGGAAGAAAATGGGGGAAATGTACTATGGAAAATTACACTATCATTTTATAACCAGCACCAAAAGATATTACTATTCATGTGCTATCTCTTATTAATTTAGAAACATTTTGCTTTTCTCAAACAGGCTGACAATCCACTTACCCTAGTTGTTTTTACTTTATTCCCAGAAGAACAGCTCCATCCTTTCCGATCTGGAAGAACTTTACATTCTTCTCCCTCAAGACATGGCTGCATATGGCACCACCATTTCTGTTCCACTATTGAAGCTATAGTATAAAGAAAAATCAATTCAGTATCTTCCATCCTGGCCTTGTTTGTTCCCTAGGTACACATTTAAAGTCGTACAAAATTCACCAATATTCCCCTCTACTAGCTAAACTAGGTTTTGAGGCATCCTTCTCTTTTTGTCCAAAGAGACAACTTAAATATTTCTAGATTTTCTGAGTAGATTATTTTTCATTTTAGCTTAAAATTTTGTTCAAGTAATACCTAACATAGCTCTACCTTCTTAATCTCTCTCTCTCTCTCTCTCTCTCTCTCTCTCTCTCTCTCTCTCTCTCTCTCTCTCTCTCTCATGGGGAGAGGCACCGGGTCAGTCTTATACAAGAAAAATGCCTTGTATGGAACATGTATGCATTGACATTTAATAAAAAATAACATAGTGAAAGAAATTTTGTGGGCATATACATGTTGTACATGCACTGATCTTTATAAAATGGAAAAATTTACCCCATGATTCCTGTAGAGTCAGTTTTTTTAGAATCAATACAATATTTCTTACTAGCAGGCTGAAAGAAAAATATTAGAATCGGTGCATTTTTTTAAAACTGTGGACAGTATCCAGCATCATACAAACACACAAAAATGCAACCAAATTACTATAAACACATAAATTATATGATAAAATATATTACAAAAACCCACACAAATATTTTTCTGCATATCCATAAAATATCTCAAATTAACTACCTACAACTAAACATTCACTCATATTTGTGGTGTTCAGTTTTTCTTTTCTTCATTATAAAATAAAAGTATTATTTGTTGTTGAATTTCTGACATTGATGTTCAGTTCATCACTACCCACATGGTGTTTATTTTCCTGTTCTTATGAACCATACAATGGGCTGGAGAGATAGTATAGCAAGTAAGGAACTTTCCTTGCTTGCATGCAGCCAGATTTGGTTTGACACCCAGCAATATATGTAGTACTGCCAGGAGTGATCCCTGAGCACAGAGGAAGCACTGAGCCCTAGTACCACTGGGTGCTCCCCTGGCTTACTTTAAAATAAAGAACGATCTATGAATTAAGAAACCCAAATTGCTTAAGCATCTCTTTTTATTTTGTATACATTCCTCTCACTGACTGTCAAATCAATCTTTCAATCTTTCATAATCTCAGAGCAAGAAGTACATGAAATTGTTGGAACCTCATTATAATGCCCTTTTTTACAAAACTACAGAAGGTCTTATACCTCCTCTAAAGGATTCTAGAGTTCATAATGTCCCCTCATATGACTTCATATAAACTACGTAATTCATAATGGATTCCCCTAGGATTGACCCAATCAACATTATAGTGGGGTTCCAGTTTTAAGTAAATAGTTGTTCCCACAGCTACACTATTGCAATGAGCAATGGAAGAAGTCGCACCATCCACACAAGATGGAGCAGCTCGCGTGGTGCCTGCCACCTGCCCGGGGAAGCAGGAGCACTTGACTGTTTGTGACCGCTCTTCTATCTTGTTCTTATTACAGCATCTGTGGAGTGCCACCACCTCGCAAGTGCCCGTTTTAACATGGTGAGCTGCACAAAGAGAACACACACACACACAAAAATAAAAACAACATTGAGAAAGCTTTGGAAATTTCCTTCTGCTTTTTTTTTAATTAGACATACATTAAATATAGCTCTATAAGGGATCAACCATGCATGAAACGAGAAATACAATGATGCTGACTCCAAAATGCAGATTTGATTTCTCTTCCAAATGTGGTAGGACCATTTCTGTCAGTAAATGCTTTGTGAAGCAGAGACAATTAGTGACTAGATTAGAGTATGCTGTTAGAACAGTTTGAAATATTGAGGCAATATGTGTGACCATCAAAAACATATTTATTTGCATATGAATTATTTGCACTGTCTTGCAAGAGGTTAATCAAGGTAAAACCCTGGATAAGGGAGAATGGGTCTAAGACTATTCCATTCACAAACTGAGTGAAAGTGAGAAAGGCTATGGCAGCAAGGATAAGGCCAGGCAAGGAACTTCATAGAAAACAAAAGTGGCAGAGAATGAATATCTCCCTCCTCAGTAGTGTTCTGCCCAATTTCCCTGGAAATAAACTAATTGGTGGATTGTTGAAAGTGCTTCCATTTGTCTCAAAGTCCAAGGCAGTCATAGGACACAAAATCATTTCTTTCAATTTTGCCTGAGGGAATAGCAACCACCAACTTCTTTACCCAGACCTTGGATGAATTTATATTTAGTCAGTAAATCCTGACCAATAAGCTGTGATGCTTTGCCCATTCTGTTAAACTTGCAGTAAGTTTACCGAACTCTTTGGACAACTAAAATGCTTGAACTTCACTTATCCTCTGTTTAGGTTCTAGTCTGATTTCATTATTTTCAATTCTTCTATAAAATGATAAAGCAAAAGTTTGATGTGCTAAAAATAAAAGCTGAGACTGGAGCGATAGCACAGAGGGCAGGGCGTTTGCCTTGCACGCAGCTGATCTGGGTTCTATTCCCAGTAAATAATAAAAATAAAAATAAAAGCTGCTCAAAACAAGCATTTGTAGAAAACTCCAGTTCCAGAAATTTTTTAAACGTTGATATAAATAAAAAAATTAAAAATATTTGAAATTGTCTCGCCCGCTCCTCTCTGGAAAGAAAGATGGCGGCCGCACGGGAGCCTTGTGGAAAGCGGGTTTGAGCCGGGCTCGGGGAAGCGGCGGGGACCTCATGGGAAGGGGGGCTTTGTGGGCCGTCCCCCACGCCCCACCGGGGTCGCCGGCTGCTCCCCACGAGCCGCTCTCCGGCACGGCCACGGCCCCGGAGGCACAAGGACTTAGCACAGAGAACCAGCCGCTTGGAGCAGAAAAGCAAATGGACTTGTGTTGATGCGCGCCACCAAGCCTGCCCGGAGGGGGAAGGGCGTTGACCGGCCCGCCCGCTCCTCTCTGGAAAGAAAGATGGCGGCCGCACGGGAGCCTTGTGGAAAGCGGGTTTGAGCCGGGCTCGGGGAAGCGGCGGGGACCTCATGGGAAGGGGGGCTTTGTGGGCCGTCCCCCACGCCCCACCGAGGTCGCCGGCTGCCCCCCACGAGCGGCTCTCCGGCACGGCCACGACTCCAGGGCACAGAAATCAATCTCTTAACTAGCTAACTTTTAATAGAAATTCTTCCAGGGTCAATAAGTAAAATAGCAGAAATTCAAAACCGCGCGGCCGCTATTGCGGCCGCGCGACATCATTTTATTCTTAAACCAAGTTCTAGAAAGCAAATCATTTCACAACGCTGTTTCAGCATGTCTGATTGGGGGGGGGGGGGGTCGTAAACTCTAAACAATAATTGTGCATCTTCTATCGAAATAATCTATCTAGTCAAAGTAGATAGAGTATTAACTAGAACTCATCTGCCTCATAAGAATTGGGAGGGGTGGGAGGTGGGGGTCTATTGGGGTTCGGGGTTAAAAATGAGTATTGGTAAAGGGAAATGTGTTCGGTATCTACATGACTGAGACCTAAACCCGAAAGCTCTGTAACTTTTCCCACAGTGATTCAATAAATAAATAAATTAAAAAAATAAAAAAAAAAAATATTTGAAATTGTCTAATGTTATAAACATATCAAGATCCTTTACAAATAAGATGAATCATGCATTTACACTAATACTTCCCTGAAATGTGACGAACAAGTGTGCAGTATTAAGTCAGTTTATAGAGCTTGTCTAGATTTCCTTATAAAAGGAGGCAAATTACATTTTCAATATCACCCATCCATGTGAGACCAAGAAAATCAGCTTTGACATGTAATTCTAGAAAGAATTTTCAAGCAGCAAAATCCATTTTCAAAGTAACAAACATTTTTTTGCAACTGTAGAATTAAACAAGAATTTTTCTGCTTTATTCAAATACAAAATTACCTCCACAAATCTGAGTCGTATTTTTCCTATCCTTTTTAGCTCTGAAATATATGTTCTTATTTATGATTTTATTCTTTAATTGCTTTGTTCTACTACTCAACATTATATTCTCTATACTGTATGCATTTTATTTATCTTCTACCATATGCATCAAACATTCTGAGTTTGGAGATATAACAACAATTAAGAGTGTTATAGACTCAGCCTTAAAAAGCTTATATTCCTGTGGCGAAAGCAATCAATAACTATTAATTTAACATGACACGCATGCAATGTTATAAACCAATGTTACTTCAATAAAAAAATAAGCAGGAAAAACTTTAAGTGCCTATTAATGCTTAACTAAAATGATATTAGTTTAACTCCTTAAAGGAAATGCATGAGTGATGTCATTGACAGTAAATACGTAGGAGGGAATGTATATATATATATTTTTTAAAGTTTCAGGAAAGATATTACTGAGGAGAGTAAACTGTATGATGGCTATTGATGAAACAACCATTCTAAAACCTAAGGGGGAGACCATTTAAAAGAGGAGAAGCAAATGCAAAATGACAATATACTGCAATGCAAAAAAGACATAATGTTGTAGTACTATGTCAGCAAGATGATGAATGAAGTTGAATAACACAGAGGTTGAGGAAAATAATTCTGGAATATATGATCATGGAAAATGTACATGACATTGTGAGGATATTATATTTTTTAAAGAAATCTGTATGTAATGTAGTAGCATCACATTTATCCTTTAAAAGTTTATACTCAGCTCTTTAGAGAACTGCCTAAAGAAAGCAAGACTTGAATAAGGGAGAGGAACTCTGATGATGGGCATAAATTGATGATAAAAATGAAAACAGTATAGAGGAACAGAATAACTAGAAGAAGGATCAGACTGGGATATTTTGGTAGAATGTTAGTTTTATTCGTTAATAGACTTAACGTGAAATGCAATGGAGGAATAATTAAAGTTCATTTGTCAACTTGATATGCACAATTGAAGTTATTGATTCTGGTGGATAAGGAGACCCAGGGAGAGACCAGAGAGTAGAACAGCAGGTAGAAAACTTGCCTGACCTGGGTTAATTTTCAGCAATGAGTTTGGCAAATAGATTTAGTTTGAGATCTTTACAAGTCACAAGTGGAGGTCTAAATCACAGGAGCAATATTTACAAACTGGAGCTTTTGAAATAGATCTGGACTGCTGACACAGTCAAGAAGTCTACACTTAGGGTTGGTATTTAAAACCATAAATTGAACCGCATTATCCAGGAAATATTGCCAGTATAGAAGGAATAATATAATTCGAACATGTGTCTTATGTTAGAGAGATAGCAAAAAAATGTTCATAACTTGCAGCACATAACATGAGAGAAAAATAATGAGATGAAGAAGGAACAAGAAGAAAATGGTCCAATAGTGAGAGGCTGATCAGCAATATTAAATACTGATGAAAACATCTGAAGGGAAGTAAATTAATTTTCCGTTAATGAAATAAAGTCAAATAATGGTCAAAAGTATAAATTCCACATGCCGGAGTAACTGGATTCAAATCAAAGCTCCTAACATACTTGTGATTTTGGGCAAGTAACCTGATTGATCTTTCTGACGAGCAATGATATTTCATGTCTAAAAGAGGGACATTGATAGCACTTTCTTCATAATTCTTTCATTCAAGAAGTTTTTTGCCTTGTAAATGGAAGTAAGGAATTGAGTGGAAAGCTAGAACAAATCTGGAGTAAGAGAATGGGGAATTACTTTTGAAATCTCTGCCGTAAAAGGAACAATACAGGGAAAGAAAGATAACTCAGTGGGCTGTTACATTTGCTTTGCACGAGGGATGCCAGATTCAATCCCCAGAATTATAAGGTTCCTCAATTATTGCTTGGTGAAGCCCCTGTACACTGCCTGATAAGGCTCAAAGGATGCTTACTTTAAAAAAAGAAGTATTGGGGCTGGAGTGAGAGCACAGCAGGTAGAGCATTTGCCTTGCATGCGGCCGACCCAGGTTCAATTCCCAGCATCCCATATGGTCCCCCGAGCACTGCCAGAAGTAATTCCTGAGCGCATGAGCCAGTAGTAACCCCTGTGCATCTCCGGGTGTGACTGAAATAGCAAAAAAAAAAAAAAAAGAATGGACACACAGAAATATTGTAGCTCTCCACCTCACTAGTTTTGTATCATATGACTTGCTTTGGCTGATATAATAAGCTATAGTAATAGAAATTTCTTATAAAAACTTAAAATATACGTTACGTGTATGGTTTAAAAACTAATGTGGGGTCTGAATGATAGAACAGTGGGTTGGGTGTTTGCTTTGCACATGGCCAACTCAAGTTTGATTCCTGGCAATCCATATATTCCTCGAGCACAACCAAGAGAAATTCCCAAGTGTAGAGCCAGGAGTATTCCCTGAGCATCGCTGGGTGTGACCTCACCCCACACATTTTTTTTAATGTGCTAATGTGCTGGGTAAGATGCAACTTAATGATACATGGATGCTTTGCATGTGTGAGCAACCTGGGTATGATCCCTGCCACCATGAAAACAAAAACAAAACTCCAAAGAGAACTAGTGATTTTCACATTTCTTCTTACCTGCCAAAGCAATAACTTATGCTAGTGATAACAAATCACAAATCACAAATCATCCTGTTAATCGTCGATT